AAAAGTAAATGTGGAGGAAAATCCCTTCAAAAAAGAGCCCCCTAAAGGGACAAATCTTTCTGCATGAGAGGGATCATGGAAGATGGAAAATGTGCAAGGTGATCCGAACTGGCCAACATAAACACAGCCATCGTCTCAGATTGAAAAAGATGGCTATCTCTCATGATCATATTACTAAAATGCTCTAGCCATTAAAATGGAATTAAAGATTTTGTGTTTTTTAAATTTAGCCTGACTAACATTGAGACAAGATGCATGGTTTTTTAGCACAGTTGGAACTGACTTGGCTACTGAAATTCTTACTTGTGTTCTTTTATCTTATCTGACAAACTCTCAAAAGAGAGCGTTCCTAAAGGAGTCGGCATCTTTATCATTACAAATTTCAGAAAAGAAAATTGCCTTTAAAATATCCTCATTTTCCAGGAGGAGGCCACATTTAATTAAAATTTGAGAATGCAGACATTAAAAATATATGACCTTTAACTGAATTGCTAACCTTGAAGGTTTTTGTTCTTGAGAATTTAAAAACATTCCAGCTACACATACTGTCTGGAATACAGATTAAGATATTGACTAAACAATAACCGCTAAGACTTTATTGCTTTATTCCTTTAACAGCATTATGCATTTGTGCCTGTGACACACCTCAGAAATATCTACTTAGTTTCACGTGACTGGTTCTCTGTGTATCTTTTTCCTTAGAAGAGGAATTTATACTGAGTTTCTGAGTTTTAAATGATTATTAAAGAACAAGACACCAATCATTTTTATTGGCAGCAAGGCATTATTCATATATTCAAAATGAGATTTGCAATTTCCTCTGCATTTTTTTTTAAAAAGTGCTAAGATAATTGTCCTTTTTTGAGACAGTGTTGCACCTGTTTCACCCTAGCTTGGTTCATGTCCTTTTGCCACTGCATTCATAAGCTGCAATGCTACAGATGTTTAGTTTTACTGGAGAATAAATTGTGTCACGAGATGCTTACTGTTCGATTAATTTGGAGATGAGGTGCTTATTATTATCTTCTAAGAAAATGTAAACTAACATTATCTTAACTGTGAAATTAGATGATGATTTGTTTTACTGAATTACATCTTTGAGTACATGTGATTATTGCTAATTTTCTGAAATAATTCAAAACTGTCCACAGCTCTGACTGTCCCATACTGGTGCTCTGAAACATGAGCATGGTAAGAAATGACTCTGAAATAGGTGAATAATTCCTTCTCCTGAGTGAATGATTCTGGTTTGGAATGCTTCAGGCGAAAGGATGTGAACCTGCTGATTGACTCAAAGGGGAATCTCATGTTAGTCCCATAAAAATCCCTTAAATCCCTAAATCCTGGTAAATATATGCTCAAACCTAGTGTCATACATACTGTACAAAAACCAATGGATTTTTCGTTTTATTACCAAGTTAATTAACAATTAATCATGTTATCTGTATTTGAATGAGGATATGCGTCACTTCAAAATAAAGATTATTTATCAAAGCTTAACTAGCATATTGAGAAAAAGTATAAAAATGTATCTATGATGGCAAAAAAATAAAAATACATGACTAATACATGCTTAGTGAGTAACACTCCAACTGTTTCAGCTCACTCTCTCTGCACTCTTCCTCATGCCTCAGGTGTTTCAGATCACTCTTCCTGCACTCTTCCTCACACTCCAACTCTTTATCCTCACTCTTCCTCAAGCTGTAGTGGCACATTTTCCTCTTCTAGTGCTTCAGCCAGCTCCATACAACCTGATCTGTTCAGAATCTCCTGAACTGAGGCACAGTTATCCTGCTGACATGCTATGAGGAATGTCCCATTTACGAAGTGTAATCGTATGTTAGCCCCCTCAATCTTTCCACTGAAGGATGAGTTGCTCTCTGTGTGCTCAGAAAGAGATATTACAGTAAATGCACAAGTAATAATAATAATAACAATAATAATAATAATAATAATTGGTTACACTTATATAGCGCTTTTCTGGACACTCCACTTAAAGCGCTTTACAGGTAATGGGGACTCCCCTCCACCACCATCAATGTGCAGCAGCCACCTGGATGTCCACAAGTAGCACATAATCAACATATGGGAGTTATTGGAGATAGTTCAGGGTTCCTACGGGATGATTTTATCATGGCAAAGAATTCAAGTATTGTGTAGTGTCATGGCTAAAACTAGCAAACTTAACAGGAAGACATGGGAACTATCATATAGAGCAAAACCAACTGAATTATGTGATTCCTGCAGCAGGGCACTATAATGGTAGTATTGCACAAACAACATCTGCTTGTCTCACAGCTGGAGTGTGGGGGGGTATTTGAGCTGCCTTTCAGTCACACATTACATTGACTGTGGATAACTCCAAATTCCCTATTCCTGTGCTGACAGCCACATTGTAGTGTTTTAAAACACCTGTGTTGTTGATTTTCTGATTTCATGGCACATGTCCAGAATCTATCCTCTAGAGATTTTGTCTGTCTCTTGTTTATTAGGTGTTATTCTACATTACATAAAGCTGCAGAAATGGGGTTATTTAATGAAGAGGGGTGCTTGTGACAGTGGTTACTCTTTAATATCTCATTCCCTGGTCCTGGAAAGAGACAGGATCTTCTGGTTTTCATTTCAAACCATCCCTCAATAATTTCACGTTTTAGTGAATTAGGGAAACTTAACTTTGTATTCAGTCGCTGAAGACAATTATAGTCCAAACCATAAAGCTTATGGGGCTTTCCAGTTCTAGGCATTGCTGCGATAGAGAATGTCTGATTGAATAAATGTATAATTGAAGGCATTGCTGGCTTGTTGCCTGTTGTTTATTTAAAACAGTGCTGATTCTTAAAATAAATAATAAAAAATTGAAATGATAGAATGATTTATTAAATTCCTTGGCTAGGAAATTAACTGCATTGTGTCTATCTAGTGGACTGTTTTACTGATTACCTTATGCAGAAGGGTGTACTGAAGCCAACTAAATTAATTCTGAAATTAAACAGTTTATCTCCATGGCTCTAAGTTATAATTAGTTGGTGCATTCTTGCAGAGAATATTTATTCAAGTCTATGCAGGCTGGCAGTATTTGACTAGAATAACCAATAAATTCAGCATTTTCATAAGGATTGTTTGACCAATAACAATTGGTATTGGTCATAGCATAGTACAGGTAATGTATAAAAGGTTCCTTTTTTCAAAACTTGTTTTACGTCATACTGTGCTTAATGATAATTATGTCTTTCTATGGGTAGCACTTCAGAAAGCAGCTGAGGGAGACTGGAACAAGCTACTCAGTCATGCTGTTGAAACAGATTCCCTGGTATATTTCAGGGAATATTTCAAGAGCACTGGATCAATCACCTATTAGTAATCAAACAGGCTGGACTGACCAAAAGGCTTCCCTTTATTCTTTCTGCATATTCTAACAAAAAAAGACTGAGAAACAGCAGATATACTGTGGCTCTGTTGGATGAGTCCAGCACAATATCTTTGCTTTGGAAATACTGTATATATTTCCAAATAAATGTTGTACAATTTTCAATGCAGATTTTTTGCAATGATTTTAAAATGTACAAGTCAAACCAAATTTCTCCTTTTTACAGTGAATGAGAGTTGTGGTGCGAATATGACCAGTTAAGTCTAGCAATCAGTGGGTCAGAACACAAGCAAAAAGCAAAATGTAAAAAACTGAAAAGGAAATGAAAATGATGGGTAATGTTGAAGTGGGATATGCTACCGCCTGTGCTATTCAGAGTAATGATGTATATCAGACTGATGATTTGATTTTCAAGGCATCACTGACAAATGTCCCTAATTAGAAATGACTCATTTTGTCTTATGGTTTATTAGAAATGTTCATCACCTTCTCATTACATCTTCCAACAAATTATTGCCTTTATAGACCATGACATTCTAGAAAATAATGCAGACGTTTGCTCACTTAAGTAATATTCAGGCAGAACTAATGGCTGCTATGTGACATCAGCTGAGCTTTCTGCATTCATCTTTACCACTTGTTCAATGCATTAGTATTCATTAAGAATCTGAGCTTACTGTGCTCAGCATTATAATTGGTGATAAAACAGGCAACATTAGAAGAGGAGATAGAAAATAACCTACTATTTTCTAACGGAAGGATAATTTATTATATGAAAAGCCATACCCACCTGATTCCAGATTACTCAGTTTACCTCGGCTATTTTAGATCACCAAATAGTGCACACTACACCTCTCACAGAAGATGCATGAGCTGCATCTCTTGCTAATAAAGCAAAATAACACACCCCAGCTTGATGCTGGCAAAACCTGTTTAACCTGAATGACTGTGTACTGCTAGATGTTTCAGTGGTCAAAACTGTACAAAGGATTATACAGTAAACATCTTGTTACAGTGTATCTTGGTTATTTTGTACAATGTTAACAGCTTCAAAGGATGTTCTCTGCTGTGTACTGCTGTGTTTTGGTTACTAACCAACAATAACCAATATACTCAACAATCACAACCATGCTCAACAGTTCCTACAGTATGTCTCATTATATCCTGTCCAGTAAACAAAGAAGTCAAATGAGCATGTGTTCTGTGGTACCTGGTTACTGCTGGAACACAGCTTTGTTGTCTTAGTGAAAGCGTTCATGAAGCAAGCCAGTCCATTACTCACTCATCTCCCACGTGTTTCAAAGGTTCACAATAATCGAATCATTAAAGGTTTAATTACAGAACTGAGGGAGCTAAAACAAACGCCATGAGATGCTGGATTCCAAATGGCCTGAAAGGGAAGTTCAGGGGAAACTTTAGGCTCAGTTGGGACAGGACTGCCCTGCCCTGGTGTGAAAGATGCCATTAGTTTGTCTGGCAGCTACTTTTTGCTCGTTTTGAGGTTTCAAACAGCTGGAGAATTCAAGGTACAGTTTTGCATGTAACTTGAAAGCCATTTCAGTAACATTTACCTGCTGAAAATCCTAAAGATTTAGTTATTTGAACTTCAATCAAGAGTTAAATGAAGTTGTAGATTATCCACCTGTTATGTGAAATCTCTCTTTGCTTGTGTAAGGGTCATGACCACCTGGGCCTATCCTGAAAGCACAGGCAGCAGGAGGATTGCACCCTGAACATACAGTACAGTACTCAATACCCTCGGCACACTGCACCCAGTACAGTGCAGTACTTACTGTGCATATTGTACTGTACACATGCTTACTTCTCCATCTTTGTGAGACTTCCCATTTTATTTTTATTGATTATAATCTACCTTACATTCAGTTACTTCATTCTATCAGCTTTGCACCAATCTTGCTTTGTATTATATTGTGTCAGTATAACATGAGCAGACAGATTTATTTCATTGTAATGATGAGATACCTGTCTTATAAGGCACATTGCTAGTATGAAAATATATCTTCTGCAGACCTGGAACATAAGATTGGAGTGACATTTTCAGGTTAGCAGCATGAAGTCCAATTGTATTCTGTGTTGAGTTTGATTTTCAGAAAGCTTTTGATAAAATTCTCTGTAATTGATTAATTCTCAAATTTCATGCAATACACAGTGGTAGTAGTGAGTGTATTAGGACTGAATACTTGTTAATGGATAGAAAATAGAAAATGCTGATATTAGATTTAATTAGTTATGATACAGATCTATATTATGGCCACTGTTCTTAATTTATACAGTAGCAATGATCTACACTCTGTACATTTTAGTATACTAGGTATCTGCATATTGTATAATAGCAAAATAGAAGGATTAGCAAACACTGTTGAAGCAACAAAAATATCAAAACATAAATAGAAATGTGCCTTTAAAATTCTCAAAACTAAAGTGAACTCCATAAAGTAAGTAAAGTACTTCTGTTTTCATTGATAGTTTTAAACCAATTATCATAAAGCCTCAAATTTATTAAGCACATTTCTCTGATGAAGTTAAATGTAATTAAATAGATTCAGTTAAAACCATAAAGCTAAGTAAATAATTGGTACGGTTCAATTCTGTGTCCTCCCGTAAAACAAATCAGAAAAAGTAGCTCGCACTGCATTTTTTTAAAGTAGCTTCTGAGGGCACACACCTCGCTTTTACCGTGCATTCGTTTGCAGGATTTTCTGTGTGCTTACGGGGTCGCAGCACAGAGCCGAAGGCACACACATACAGTACATTGTGAGGACAATTTGAATACGCCGATTAGTTTACCTAGCAGGTAAGAGGAAAAGGGAACACCCCCGCAGAAAAACATGCATTTCCCCGATAGAAGGCGCAACAGCAAGGAAACGACTGAACTGTCGGGAGGCAGAAGCGCTAACCGTTACCCCTGCTTTCCACTGAAATATAAAATAAAGAATTTGTGTTTGTGTTTGTGTGTGGTTAATTTAAAAATAGCTATAGCTATTAATTAAAGAGAAAGAACACTTTTATGTCTTTAAATACTAAGACAACTGAACAAGGCATACTTGAAAAGACTGAGACAACGAAGGTGAAAAAGCAATCGTCTTAATTTCAGTCAGGTGTTTGCACCTAAAAGTCACGAAGCAGGTGTTACTTTGGATCGAGCCATTAAATTATCCTGTGATAAGTTACATTTTAAACACTAGAAACTTCAAAGCACACCCTTTGACTTAGAACACAAAATTAACCGTTCATTTTCCGCAAATTATCTAATGATCTTCAGATACGAAACCTAAAGTTTTACAATTAAAGAGTGAACTTCAATTATTTCTGTTGCCATTACCCACCCCGTGCAATCTCTAGAGAGATGGGCTATCCTACTTTCAGAAGCGAGGTCGGTCTCAGATTAAAAAAAATAAAGTCGATTTGAAAAGTTAGTTGACAATATCCTGTTTGTAAAATGGAGAAGGATCAAAGCGAAAACCAGGAGTCCGTTAATGACTTCGGTAAGAAATTGGGTTTCTTATTTTATGCGTGTAATCATTGCATTAGTCAATAACTTAATAAACAAAGCGATTGATTGTAAGGGTATTTTGAACTAAGCATTGTAAAGAACCACCAATTTGCCTTTCCAATAATACCATTTCAGTAATCCCACATGCGAGTTGTGTATTAATGTATAATAAGGCACGCATTAAACTCACCTTCCCAGTCAGTTAAGGAACTGTTAATGCATTAGATTCATTATATACTATTTTTACAACTCCAAATACGACTTGTTAAAAGAAGTTAAATTATTTCATGCGGAACCTAACTGTTGTCGGTGAAACTACCTTACAATTAGGAAATATTTCGTTCCTCGTTTAATCTGGGTTAGTTGGATTGGTGTGTTTAAAACTCACGTTTTATACTGTGAGTCGAGAGTTCTTTCGAGTTTAAGAAGGAAAAGCACCCCTATAGAATGGTAGCAGATCAGAGTGAGGGTTTCTGTAGTTACCACTTACATTTCTGTCACTGTTTTTCACCTATTGTGGATAAATTGCATTATTTTGTTGAAACAAACTGGTGATTTTTATACGAACGTGCATGACTATATGAAGTTGCTTGACTGAATAGGCTGTCTGTGGTTTGATACAGTACAGTATGTCACCTTGGGGTACTTGTTTACTGGTATTAAATATACTGGTTGCTTTACAATTCCCATGTTTTAAGCGCAGTGTCTTCCATAGTGTAGGCCGTGTTTAATGAATCGGTGACCAAATCCTGAACGTGATTTATCAAGCATCATATATAATCGCCCCAGTTGAACAGATCTCATAGTGTAAGGAGAAATCTATCTGCTGTCTCACCTTTGGCCTTTATGACTTCCTCATCAATGTATAGAAAATGTATAAAGAGGAAACGGCCGTTTATGGGTACAAGATATCAATAGTAAGAATAAGAGTGGTGAGGAACCATCGGTATTATCTCCGTCTTCCTGTGCAATTTGTTGCCAAACCTTTTATCAGTAGAAGATGAAAGGAACGTGGGTGCAGAGAATCCAGCATACAGTATTTAAGATGCAAGTAGCCAAAGCTGATTTATCAAGCAATGCATATAGTATCATAATTTCTACAGTTCAACACCTCCATACCAGAGCCTGTAGCACATTACTGTACAAATGAAGAGACTTTGATACACAATGATCAATATTACTCTCTTTTCTGGCTTCTTGGGATGTAATGTGCCATGTTGTTTCCAGACTTTTAAATGGTACTATGTTTGCATATTTCATACAGTGCTGCTAAAATGCTTGGAATCACTCACAGAGAAACTTGGGAAGGACATATATGTATCTAAAGGAACAAGTAATAGGTTTATTCCATGCTGGAAGAAAAAGGAAAAAAGAAAACACAACGTTTCGGCCGTGGAGCCTTCTTCAGGTTCTTTTTTCCTTTTTTTTCAGCATGGAATAAACATATTACTTGTTCCTTTGCAGCCTACACATGCTGTTGCAGCTACCCACCTGAACATACTGTATATGTATCTATATACACATGTATATGTGAATTCCAATCCCAGAACTTCCTGTAGTTGGACGGGGGGTCCTTATTTTGAGGGACTGCAGGATAAGGAGTCCCCAGGTTTAGAGTACTTGGAGACCCATATAGCTGGAGAAGATGAAAGTGGGAAATGTGTGATGGAGGTCTGCAGTCAGTGAGGGTCCTGATTTAAATTCCAATGTCTCCACAAAGCATAACATCAACTTCTGGTACTTGTCAGGCACCTGTAGACTTTGCAGTGATGTCAGTGGGGGGTGTAGTGCTCATGCAGCCAGTACTGACTCACCTGCAAGGACTGTGGAGCTCACAGCAGTTCAAATTCTGAATGGCTCTGACAGGTGTGTGTATTTAAGGTCCTCTTTTTCCCCAGTGCAATGAAGTGGCTCAGTTAGTATGTTTCCTAGTAAGAGGAGTTAATAGACAATTAATGGTTACAACTTGAGTGGGTGCAAAACAGAAAATAACTGATATTTCCAAAGAAATGTGAAGGGCACCCAAAATGGCATATAAGATAAAGAAGAGAAGATGTGTGTGCAAATTAGGTAAGCTTCTCCTACAAACCATCTACCCTTTGAGTGAAGGCAAAGTATAAATTCAGGATAATTGTATTGTTGGTGTATGCAACCTGAAGAGGAGTGTTTACTCTCTTTAATCAAAGTATTGTTTAACAAAGTAAGTGTGAAAAGAGTTATTTAGAGATGTGAATGGCAGAATCAATAAAATATTTAGTGCTTTTTTTATTTAACACCAATTATGTTTGTTAAGAAACAGTATCAGAGGCTCATTAGATGTTGCAGGGATAGATAATTTGGTATCAAATGAAGGATGAAAAATAAGTATTCAGGATACACCAGCATTTTTGCTAATCAGAAGGAAAAGAACTGTATTTAAAGGTATTGAAAACGTAATTGATGTCAACTCTATATATTGTCCAGAACCAGGCTCCTTACATGAGGATGGATTTATAACCCTGTTCAAGTGGGGAGCTGCAGCAGCATGTGTAGGCTGCAGAGGAAGAGGTGAAGGTTCATTACATGCTGAAAGGTCAAGAAAAGAAAACTCAATATTTCGGCTGTGTCTGAAGAAGGCTCCACAGCTGAAACATTGTGTTTCTTTTCTCTAACTTTCAGCATGAAATGAACCTCTACCTTTTCCTTTACAATCCTGTTGTTTCTCTGCAGAGGAAGAGCAAGATAGCCTGCTATGTAAAGAGCAGCTGGAGAGTGACCCAGAGAGCAAGGCTCAGCTGGGTCTGAGGCTGCAGCTGTCCTGTGAGGAGGATGAGGTGGTGGAAGAGGCTGTGGTGAAAGATGTGAAAGCAGAGGCAGAGGAAGAGGAGGAGGAGGGGATCAGGAGGGAGGTAACGGATGTGAGGGAGACCCCCCCCATGTCTGCCTACCGCACGGTCATCATCGACAGTGAGCAGGCGGGGGGCGGACCAGAGGAGAGCAGCGTGGTGAGCTCAGAGGAGGACTTCTGTATGCTACAGGTGGAGGGTCGCGGGACCCCCAGGGGGAGTGGCCAGTTCCTTGGCCAACCTAGCATGGAACCCGAGAGCCAGATGAACTTTGTCACTGTCTGTGGACGAGTAACAGGACTGTTCGACTCCCGGAGGAGGGAGCAGGCAGAAGAAGAGTTTTCCAGCTTGCCCACCCCGTACTGCCAGCAGAACACCTCAGGCTCATACCACGAGGAGGAGCACACGCCACAGCTGGGGACCAAGAGGCCTCGGCAAGCTGCAGCGAGTCCGGCTCAGCAGCAGACGGAAGGACCCATAAAGCTAGAGCAAACCGAGGCTTCGTCCAGTGACCCTGCCTTGGTGATCCCCTCCAAAGTGCTTAACCTGACCGAGTTTCAACCAGTTGACCTCAAAATCAACTCTGCTTACGTCACTCGACGCCATACCCGCTACTCCAGCCGGGCTAAAGTCTTCCCAAACTACAGGGCAGCCGGAGGTGGGGCGGCCCTGGGAGACTCGAGGGACGGTCTGAAACAGGATGAGTTAGCCGACAGCGGGCTCATGCCTCCTGTTCCCAAGAAGAAGACAAGGACCCTCTACACCACTGGTTAGTTCTGTCGTCCTCGTCGCTGATTAAACCCTCTGATTACACTCTTTGGTTACTTCCATTCGACAGATCACCAGTGGAAGAGTCAGAAGGTGACTCAGTAGAAAAAAAGTTAGTAGATCGTCAATAAACAACTAGCAATCGGACCAAAAATACGCCAGTATATTTACTTTTACTCTTCCTTAAGCTACTATAACAATTTTATTTTGAAAATGGAGACATTTTTATTAATTTATTTGCCAGAAAATCTCATGGGACTGTACCATAATCTATTTGTGTTTCTTACAAATTATGATATAAATCCATACAGCTGGATTTTCTTTAGCACTGGGTAGTTCAAGTTCAAGTTCAAGTTCAAGTACAAGTTTATCGTCATTACATTCATATACATGGTACTGTATATGGTATAACGAAATGCTATTTAGCTAGCTCTCGGACATAAGTAGTACAAAGAGAAAAAAAACAACAACAACAATACAATTGTGTAGCAAAAGAAAGACAGAGACAACAGGCAGTGTGCATAAAACAACAACGGACGATGTGCAAAAAGAACAACAACAGGCAATGTGCAAAACAACAAAAAGGTAACAGGTTATGTGCAAAATATGTATCAACAGAATAAAATAACGGGATAGAAATTATGGGGAGTGAGCTTTTGACATGTATGGTAGAGGTAGATTTTCAATGTGTGTTTGGGTTTTTGGTAAGAAAGAAAGGAAGAAGGCACTGTGAGGTTCAGATCATAGGTGAGAGGTGAGGTGAGAGTGAGAGTGAGAGAGGCTGGGAATTTAACAGTTTGATAGTGTGGGGGTAAGAACTGTCTCTGAGTCTGGTAGTCCACAGTAGGGTACTGTGCTCAAGGGTAGAGGAGGAATCAGGAATCCAGAATCCTAACCATTATGCCACACTGGCCCCCCTTTTCTTAGAGTCTCCTGGAACCTTAAAATAAAGGTAGCATTATTTCTTGAGTTATGAGAATGAGTGGTTCATTGTCCTGGATAGTTTACTACTCTAACATTCTTGCTGCCTTTGCAGAACAACTGGAGGAGTTGGAGCGCCTGTTTCATGAAGACCACTATCCGGATGGAGACAAGCGCAAAGAGATTGCCGCAGCGATAGGCGTCACACCCCAAAGGATCATGGTGAGGGAATTGGTCATTCGCCTCCTTGGACTTGGGGGTGGATTTTTGTTCTGCAGCTTCTGCATCATTGTTCTAAAAGTCTGTGTATGGGGGGGGGGGCTAAAACTTGGGCCACCAGGGGCGGAGTGAAAGCTAGAAATCTGTAAATGAATGGAGAGATTTGGAAAGCAATTTGTTCAAGCAAGTCCAGCCTCCTGCATACTCTCTGTGGCAGAAAGGTTTATTCTCTTGATGTATAGGACATATTGATACCTTCCTCTCTTGTTCTCTATTTGTCTTTACCAGACGTGTTACTCAGTAGGTTCAATTGAGTGTATACCTGTTCTCAGTCAGCTGTCTTACTAATGAGGTGATTTAGTGCTTAAATAGCCAAAAGCCAAAAATCTAAATTATGCCAATATCCAAACACAAATACTTTTAAAAAAAAATATATATATTTTTTGTAAATAGTAAATACTGATGTTTCTTTTGATGCTCAATACGTGCATTGAAATGAAATATTTAAATAATTTAAACCATTAACGTGCCTTGTTTGTATTGTGTTTCTCTGCATGGAATGAGTGTATGTTTCTACTGTATATTTTGCAAATTTAATGCAATTTGGATTTCTTGCATGCTCTCATTGGTTCAGAAATCTAGAATATTTCAGTCAGAATATTCATTTTGCACAAAATTAAAAGCGATGCAGGTTTTAAAAATAGGGATGTGGTAATAGTTAGATTCAAACCCTTCTTCTCTGTCTTTGATTGCAGTCTAATTTCAGCTTTTCAATTCAAGGTGTCTTACTGACAGCATGAATATTATCTGTGCTGCCAAAAGCACTTTCACAATAGCGTATATAAAATCCACCATCTTCCTCTCCCCTGTGTATCACTGTCTGTGTCTCAATCCAGTCTTCAATTGCAGTGACATGCTTCTCTCTCCAGGTCTGGTTCCAGAACCGTAGAGCAAAGTGGAGGAAAACGGAGAAGAGCAACCTGAAGCAGGAGAAGAAGTCATCTGCTAGTAGCATGGCAGTCACACTGACCAGCACCATTGCAGTGCCCCAAGTGTCCAGCCATATTGCCCTCACAGCGCCCCCTGCTGGGTAAGGTTTACACGTCTTACAGGCATGTACTGTAAGATGTAAAGTCACATGCCTGAGAACACAGCCTTCTCTATAGTCCCTACTTTTGTACATAAAGGTGTGTGATTTTCTTATTTTATTTTTATAGAGACAAGTCTTGTGCCTTCTTCACTGTCCAATTACATTGTTGAGGTAATTAGATTGATTGATTTCTGCTTAAAAAAAACAGCAAGCACAGAGTGATTGAAAAGGAAGTGACAGAATCCTGCTGGTTACCGTTACAGTGCCATGTCGTTGGAACCAGTTAATTGAGAACCGTGCCAAAATAATTAGATAAGATCCTCAGATTAAATAGTTTTAATGAACAAGTGTAACCTTTCCTATGTCCTTGTGATCTTGATCCTCTTAGGTATTTTTAACGCCAACACTTTCCACTTACCGTACATGCATTATTGAAACTTCAGCCTGTTGTGTTCAATCTGTGTCTCTCGCCAGAGGCGGTGTGCTGGCTACAGTTCACAGCCAGCCCATTGTCCCACGGATTGTCCCACAGCCGAATCAGAGTCACTTCAGTGGAGTGATGACCACCTCCTCCAGCCCTCCTGGTGAGAATCCCAAAGTTTATTTATTAAAAACGTCTGTGCTGCACTTTCCATGTGGTTTTGCTTTGCTCGGGGGTAAGAATCAGCACAACACTTTAAAATGGCAATAGTATGACCTCATGCATTTTGTGCAATCTATGCTTTTTTTAAAAAGGATATATTCTGTACAGTAATGCATTCATGTCTTATTCAAAACACAATGTCCTTTGCCAAAAAACATCACAAAATGTAAGATCAAAGTTGGCTGTTGGCTCTGCTGGGCAGCCCGCTACTACCTATCAAGGTTTCTAGTGGGAAGCTCAATCAAGATTTCGAGTGGACCATCCTTCAGTGTTGTCAGTTTCCTATGCTGTTTGCTTTGCACAGGCCTGATGATCACAGGACACAGAATGGCTGCAGAGATGGGACAGGCTACACTGGCGTCCGCTGGCCAGCAGGGGGCACCGATGGATTACCTGCCGTGCATCCCCAGCCCTCCCCCTCTGCGTCGTGCCAGCTTACCCCTCGGCACCTCCTTCAACCCCACCAATCATATCATCCCCCTGATGTTGGACACCCCTGAAAGCTCAGGCACACAGGGCTCCCAGGAGGGCCCCCCCAGGGAAGGCCTGAGCTACAGCCTGCACAGCGAGAGCTCTGGGTGAGTGGAGAAGGCAAGCTTGGCATCCAGAGCATTACCACACTTCACCACAATCGCTAAAGGGTCCTGTCTGCCATTTCATGTTTATTGCATTTCTGACACAAAATGTACGGAATGGTCAAGCTCTCTTACACTTTATTGAAAAAGCAGGTTTATTGGAATGAGAACTTAATCATGGCTGCCTGCATTCCATAGTAACAGTGTTACTTGCCAAAAAAAGGTCAAACAGCTTGGAAAGGTGGAAACTCACTTCCTATCCCCCCCCACCTTTCGGGGGTGCATCGCTCTTAACACAGCTCCGTCACCCTCAGGGGTGTGTTGCACTTAACACGGCCCTGTGTCACACTTGAAGAATTTGAAATTGCACGCTCTCAATTCAAAGCAAAACCACATAATTATCATATTGCTGGCTGAGACCTTTGAATGTCAGTGTTTTACTATCAATAGTTTAGTACTGTAGTAACCATGTGTGTTAAAAAGTTGTGATATTTTTGCGCAACTGTTAGATGATTTTCTGCTGTAGGTGAGTTTCCTAACAGCTGTGTTGTTTTTCTGTCGGCGATACACAGTTAAACAAAGGAATTAGAACTCTTTATGCTTTAATTTGTCACCATGTAAACTAGACCATATAGAAATCGGAGACATTCTTTATTAGTTTTATCCCTGTTGCACACAATTTCTTTTTCAGACAGCAAGGACCAGTATACAGTAGTTTTTTTTTCCTGTGGTTCACCAATGACAAATCCTAAGAGAATGTTTGCAGATCATGTTATAAACAAATTATCAGTTCATATTGGTATGCATGTTCCTTGTTTGAAATACATCTGCTGGAGGTTTTTATGTCGAAACTGCATTAATTTTTCAGAGATCAAAGGGTGACCTTTCTTTTCAAGTGTGTGTGAGCTATTTCAGGTATAATCCTCGTGAAATCAAAGCACTTTTTCTTTTTTCTTACTTTCATTTGTTAAAACCTAGACCACTATTATTTTATGGGCTCTTGGTTTTAAGAGAGGCAGATTTATAGTTAGAAAGAGTGATGAATAAATAATATCAGTGATGAAAGCCTTTCAGTTTTCATACTCTTGTATGACAGGAATTGGCAGCTCCAGTCTTCAATGTGATGGAATCCTGCAGGTTTGCCTGTCAGTTATCTATTGATGAAGAACAGTTAATGTGACATTTTGTCTGGGTAATTAGTTTAATTGTTTAATTAAGATCAGATCATAGGTGGAACTAGATGACTCTGTGGCGTCATCCATCTCTGATCTACATTGTAGATAACAGAGGGGTGTTTTCAAAGAAAAGGAAAAAAAGACTGCTAATGGGTGAGAAATCCAAAAACAAGAAAAGGCATAACAAAGAATGAACAGAAGTGTTCTGTTCATTGCAGTGGCAGACATAAAGCAATTTGTCATATTGCGTTTTGTTTTTTAGTGTATCATCACAAGATAAAGGTGTTTTGACAACATGTAAAAAATCCATATGCTGTGTGAGAATGACAGCGGTTTGATTCTGTCTAAAAAATGATCCATCTACCCCCTGAGACAATCGGTAGAAGGGGCTTTAACATATGAGTGCAGAAACCCCATATCTAAAATTGGCTGATTTATTGAATATGAATATTGTATGTAAAACTCTACAAGTTACAGTTAAGATGTCCCGGTAATTTTATTCATTTGATTTACAGTATATAGAGGCAATGCTTATTCTTTGAAGTGTACATGTTACTAACACAAATCTGGAAATAACTAATAATGTACTCCAGGATGATTTGTGAAGATCTGATTCCTCTTACATTCGCTCCCAGACCTTTAGCTTGGCAAAACCATCAAGACAATTTTTTTCATGCTGAACTGTGCCAAGGGCTTCCTCCACATGTTTTTTTCATTCTGTGATTACAGAGCAATGACAGAGAGCAAGTGGATCTGCTTGTTAATTAACTCGGTCGCATTAAAAGTGTGATGATCTGAGAATAAAAAAAAAACATAGCCTAAAGCTATAGATGACCATCTCATGTCTGTGCCCAAATATTTTAAAGCAGAGAGAGGATGTTAAGAAATGACTCAACTCAGGGTGACACTGGGTAAGTGTCATGATATATCAAGAGCAGCTCATGCTGATTATGAATTGAATTGGCATAAAAAATAATTATAGCGTGAGACTAATGTAGTGCCTTTGAGAGAGCTAACACACATTAGCAACACTGATTATAAATGAGATATTACAGCTTCTAATCAAAGCATGCACATGAGCGTAGTCTTTAGGAAAACCTGTAAGATTCGATTTGGCAACAAATGCAGTTTAATCAACAGCTAAAAGTCATTAATCACGCCTCAACAGTTTCATAGTTTTTGGTGTGATTTCTACAGTGTGGTTTGTGAAATGAATTATTCGTATTAAATTGATTTAGGAAGATTAAATTGTCAAATGGAGCAAATTATGGTTTAGTGGTTTTTGGAGCTTTGGCAAGAGGCTACAAAATATTATGCTTTTGCATAATGAGAGGTAGTGCTTGCAAAGAACTAAACAATTAACAGCTGTATCCAATAGCTTCACTTGTTCTTGAGGCAGAATTTCTGTTTTGTATCCATATACAGTATGCACACTTTACTTTGTATACAGAATTGCCATTGTTTTCTGCAATCTTATGAGAACTCTGTCACTGAGCAAATGAAATCATGATCCGTTCTGAGGTTTGTTGTACACAAGGCTGAAGGGTAGTTTTCAGCAGTGATTGATAGCTGACATTTGTTTAATTTGCAAGTGTCAAGTGTGATGCAAATTCAAATTTTTTTTTACATTATTTTGAAAATGTCTTAAATATTTCCAATACATTAATGGTAATGAAACAAAGAAAAGCTCTATAAAATATTTTTTTGCATGCAGAAGTGTCCACAAGTGGAAGATTACATACTATTGTTGATGCTAGGTTTAATATTGATAATTTTGTGTGAATGAATGGTGTATGAATGGGCAGGCTTGTGATTTCATCGTCCCTGTCATGCTTGCTCACGCTGTAGTATCACTAACGGCACAGGAAACGCCATCAATGATAGAGCTGTCAGTCAGGCCATCGCCACAACAACGAGATCAGGAAGGAAATGAATACCACCTGTACATATTTAAGACCTGCCCTTGTGACTCTACGATGCCCAGTATTAGTGTATTTTCACCTGGTTTATGCATTGTCATCTGTGAGCTACTTTGTTTTCGGCTGTGCTAGTTTACTGACCTTTTCTCACTTTTCAGATTACCTTCTGGCTTTTTGCTCGTGCTTGTGCTCTTTTTGGTTTTGGGGCTCTTGCCTCCTCAGTTTTGACTTTTGGATCTCTTTCGGTACCTTGACTTGTGTTTTTCATGGCCTTGACCCCTGCCCGTTTGCCAACTTCTATAATAATATCTAAACATTTAAAAACAAAATAAAAAGACATACTGTATTAAATGAAATACAAAAATATTAGTACAGTAATAAACTTTCTTTTGACAATGCTCTTTAAATGAAAGAAAAATTCAGAATAGA